ATTAGTGCTGTCCCCAACAAAACAGACGGTTTAAAAAGTTATTTTGAAAATATGGAATGTGATAGAACTGCACATTTTTCAGCGTTCTGCTTAAGAATCAGCAATATTAAGAGGCAATCAGCTAGTATTTAAATTGGAATGGTATGGACTAGATCAGAAAACATTGTTTTATAATTTTTCAGCAGAGAAGGGCCATCTATTGGTAAACTTAGAGATTAATTTTAAATTTTGGTGAGAATTAATAGTTTCCTAAGTACAAATAAATAATCCATATATTTTTTAAAAATGTTTTGAATGTTTTTTAGTTTACTTTCTTTGTAAATTCGAATCATTGAATATTGTTAAAACACTCAATATATTTAATTGTTTTTTTTTTCAAAATTATGCTTTAAAATTGTATCTGAATGAATTTCTTAATTGCTATTTGGGTTTTAAAATATAACATTTGAAAATAGAACAATTCTAAAACTGCAATATGGGAATACCAGAAAGCTCGTTAATTTTTACGGAAGCGTTTTAGTAATGATTTTGATAAAATAAACAACAAAATATAAATTTATGAAATGCAATAAAATGTGAAAATTTTGGCAAACTTTTTTAGTTTTATTATTTATTGTGGTGTAAAAAACATCTATTCGATTAAATTTACTTTTCAGTTTTGTAATGCTTTCTAAATATGTTGCAAAAGAACTGTAATTTCCGTAAACCTTTAACATGTGAATGGAAAAATTACTAAATCAGTGTTTTAAATACTGTATATTTTGGTTTTATGAACCAGAATAATAGTTTTTTTTACCAAAAATGTCCATACCATACATTACAGTAATTTTACCTGAATTTTTTTCACCGTGTGATAGTTTTTTTCTTTGTAAAGTATCAAAAAATTTAATGTTCCAGTAAGTTCGAAAAAATATTGTGTTTCTTGTAATAAAGTCTTACATTTAAATAATTTTACACAGTTTTTTTAAAACCTTAATAATGTCCTTTCACCTTTGCATAATAATATCTAAAAAGTGGTCCTTTATAGTTATATTGTAAACATCAAAACTGTTTATGTTCAAACAATGACTAAATACAGTTTACAGTTAATATCTTACATAAAAGAATAAAATTGATTTCTAGTTTTTATTTAAGTAAAACAATATTTTTCATAATTTCAGTTCAGGTATTATTTCATTTTTTTTTCTGAGAAGATATCAGATATTGACGTCAACTGAAAATTACAAATAGATTATTTTCTACCGAATGATCAATTTTTCCTTTCGACTATTGCAACAATTATTGAATTAGGTAGTGTGATAAAAAAATTAGGAAAAACTAACGAAATTAAAAGAATTTCAAATTGATATGGCTTCATAACATTTTTATTACCAAAAGTTTAAATTTCTTAAAACAATAAAGCTAAACTGGACAAGAGTTATCCGAAAGTAGTAACTTATTATTAGAGAAATATGCAATCGAATATAATAAGCTATTTCTCAATGCATTTTTATCCCTTATAATTATTTGTATTAGGCTATTTATAAAAGTTCTTCTAAATAGGGAAGAATTCAAAATATGTCTCGCCGATCGAGGGCCGATAGTTTTTCCACCAGTCATTTGGTTAGAAAAAATATCCAATTGTTGTTTGTTATTAGGTGTTATAAAAGAATTAGTTGAAAAATTTGCTTTGCGTTGTACCAAGAGCAAAACATTTATAATTTAAAATACTTAATTTGAAAAATATTTAAAAAAATATTTTATTAGAAAGAAAAACAATGCTAAAAAATTAAGTATGGATTAGTGTAAGTATTTTGTTACAGTTTATAACTTAATGTGTTATATAAAAAGGCATTATTATTTTATTATTAAGAAAATATTGCTAGTAAAATTATTGTTATTGTAATCATTTTGTATGCAAAAATGAACATAAGAACATGAAACAAACGTGGTAAAGATTTTAAATTGCAGTTTACATCATCGTAACGAGTCAATAGGAAGATTTAAATAAGTTTTTTGTATGAACTAAAACAAATCGATAAACAGAAGAGCAGTTTTAATTTAATTATATAATTTGATTCATAAATCCCGTGAATGAATAAATGTAGCAAAAACAGATTTTTGTTATATAATGAATAATCAAAAACCACAATTCATCAGAAAACAAAATTTCATAGCAAAACAAAAATTTATCTTATTTTACGAAGAATTAAATTTTACATGTTTAAAAAAAGTATTTTGTCCCTATATATTTATTTATAAAAAAAAAATTTTATGCAAGCAACAACTGCATAATTTATTTTTATGAAATTTCAAATATTAATAAGTTTGCAATAACGTGATTAGTTAAACAATTTTCTCTTTTTAAATTTATACTGATTATTTTCATTAACGTTAAAAATCTACCCGTAATGATTATATATTAAAATACAACATTTTTCATTAAAATAAAAATTTACATTACTTACAAAATTGTAATAAAATGCAATTTTGAGTAGGTGACAATGAAATAAAAATAGCAGAAGAAATATTGTTAATTTATGTTAGAGAACAGTAGAAAAACAACTAAAACCCTTTTTTTTATTGTAGTTTAATTTACAGCAAGACACTTTTCTTTTCTTTAATCAAAAATAAATACTAATCATTTAATATACTACAGAAAAATATAAATAGTATATTTTAAAACTGGTAAACATGAAAACTGTTGATAAAACCTTTTAAAATGTTAACAAAGAAAGTGCATCTCTATTTAAAGACAGAAACAATATTCCATGCCTTAAAATTGAAAATTGATAAAGCTCTATATTTTATAAAAACAATTTAATCTTCTCTCTTACCTAAAAACACATTTCAAAGAATGTTTATATTAAGTTACGTTTCAATTTTTTGTTCGTTTCGTTTATTTTTTTAAATAGTTTTAAATAATATTAAAATAAATAGAAATAGGTTAAAGCAAAAGCAAAAAAAAATATATTTCTCCTTAAAGACATACAAAACAATTAATTCCCGAAAAAGCAAATTAATATTCTTTTGATAATAATGATTGTACTTTGACATAATAACTATACATTTTTCTTTATTTTATTGTCGTCTAATAATAATTTAAAATTCAGTAAAAATTTATAAAAAAAGTAAAGTGTAAACTCAAAATTAACGTCAAAAAAGAAGAAATCGAAATTTATACCTGATAAAATCCATTCTTTTTCTTTATTTTGTCTCTTTGGTTTTGCTAAAATATCCTAATTCAATATTACAAAATTTATATTCTAACATGTCTGAAAGAAATATAATCCTAAAAAAGCAAATTCAATTTTTATGGTAAAAAGATGACATAAGATATTGACGTCATATCACGTGAGTTAGAAGTAATACTGCCCCTAATTTCCTTCCATTTGAAAAACTTAGGTTCAAACACGCATATATGTTGTTGACAGCAATCATCAAAAAATTAGTTCTACTGGCTTCATTATTTGAGGAATCTAGCAATACGGTTTTACGTCCTCGTTCTGAAGTATCTTAGCATGTGCTAGCTCATTCTTATTATCTTAGTTTAATAATAACCTAAACATGTACAAAATAACATTAGATCATACGTGCATGAACATAAAGGGATATTAAACGTAATTGTCAAATCTTAATAACAGAAATATTTGTATGTTCTATGTGTGATTTTTATGTATGTCATAGAAGAAAAAAAAACTTTAAAAAAATCGAAGAAAACTTATGTTAGGTATATAGTCAAGTCCAAAACATTTATAAATATTCATTTTTTCGAAAAGTTATTTATCTATAAATAACGAATAATTTCTCATATATGTATAACTATTTCATATTATTTTTGATTGAAAGTTTGTTTAGCCTTTTTCAGGTGTAATATTTTAGGCTACACAAATTAATATTTTCAATTACAAATTATGAGTGCCTTCTTAAAAAAATAGCTTAAACCACTGCTAGACTTTTAATCTTTACATTTTTTGTGAAATAAACTGAAAAAAATTTACAGGATTTTTTATAATTAAACAACATTTCGCTTAATTCTTGCCTTATGTAATTGAGAGATAAACCTTGGGTAACTAAACTTAAATCAAAGTTTTTTCTGACGTAAACTATTCGACTTAATGACTATGAACTAAAACGTATATTTATCTTTAATTGACTTATATGAAACATATAAGTGTAGTTTGAGGAAAATTATCTTGTATTTTTTTTTCTTTTTAGATTTTATTAAAATAACGATGAAATGATAAAATCAAACATTTAAAATCTGGAAAATGGTGATAAAGTAGCTTATAAAGGTCATAAAACTGGCGAAATGCAGCAGTCTATTTTACAAATGTTTAGTTACTTAGTGATAATGCATGACTAAAATGACTAAAAAAATAATGTCTGGTGCTTTAAAGTGCTTTATCAGAACAAATACATTTTATAAAATACATGAAACTCAAAATATATTTTATAGCTTGTATTTAAATATAAATTTCTTAATTTTGCGTTGGCTGTTATATGAGTATTAACCACCATTAATTAACATACTGAGATTATGTTAATTAACTGTGGTTAATGTTAATAATAAGAAATGAGTGGACGCTTTTTTAAGGTTTATTAAAAAGAGAGAGTCATTAATAGTATTTAGAACAAGAGAAACAAATTTACATTCGACTCCTTTATTGATGAAAGGCGATTCCACCGTAAAGTGGTGAAGTCAAAATTATAATATTATAGTTTTTTATGAATATTAATAATAAAATTAGTTTTATCTAATCATTTCAAGTATATATGCTTATTTAAAAATCTTTTCACTCTTTTGAGACACAAACAAAACGGTGAAATGGATCGTCATCAGAAAAAATTCTTTTAGATGTTTATTTTGTTTTAAATTCATGGGATTGGGATCATAAATATAGACTAAAATCAAGACATGATACCAATAGAATGTTTTTTTCAATTATAGAGAGTTGCTGTTTTGACGATATAATTTAAATACCATTGGATTTTTGCACTTAAAAATTATATCTACTTACGTAGGGTGGAATATAGTTTTTGACCTTCATTTCCATTTCCTGTTTTGGCCTGACCTACAATTGTACATTAAAAACACTTTCAGTATGCATAATTATATAACCATACAGCAAAATATATATTTTCTACTATTCATAATGTAAGTATTTATTATTGTATTTGAAGGGCTTAGGACAACATAAAGGGATGTCACATTTTCTTTAAGGTAAGAATTTATATTAAGCAAATTTTTGGTATTAATTTCAGTTTGTCACGTTGCAAAATTTCGAAATATCTGCTTGATAATTGAACAATACACAAAAACATATTACTGTATACATGGAAATAGTGTAACCAAAAATGCTCATAAAAACGATCTCTATGAAAATGCAGCTTGTCATTGTATTACCCTAAACTCTTCAATTTAATATCCACATTTCCAGCATAGAATTTCATATACCAGAGGACTAAAAATAATCAACTGGTGGACAAACGGTTTTACTAAATTAATATGGGGTAAGGGCTTTTTATTGAAAACGGTTTTGAGACATAAATTATGTAACTGGTTATAATGTATAAATTTTAAATATTAAATTTATAAATTATACTACACATTAAATATAGTACAAATATGTTACTTTGTATTTCAAAAAGCGACATATATAATTTTAGTTAAAACATTTTGCTGAGGGTTTTTCCTGTCTAAATCCACTTGTTGCCACATTTTGCTGTTTACATTACATTTGCCACGCTATGTCTAAAAACAATCACTCACACCCGTCTACCGTTGACATTTGTTGATCTAACTGTTTCATAAATTTTTTTATAACAAAAAAGATTGCCAAAATAAAATTTAAATATCATCTGCTATTATAAATAATTAGAATAATATTCCTTACCAGTCCGAAAAACTCCAACTCGGGACTCCACTCATCGAATTCCATAATGCGAGTTATTTGGGAGCAAGGAACTTTGAGAGCGTGCTCACTATTAAAACCCCTAATCTTTGTTGAGTGTTAAGAAACCTCCCCCACACTCGATCAATATACTCAGATAAGAATGATTTCTTCAATGGACTAGGAAGAAGGACCCTACGTTTTCATGTTTGTGACATGTTTAATCATAATTCTGCAGAAATGGGTCATTTAGAGGAACTAGGAAGTAAGTTTCACGATGGAAGCACGCATAAGGCGATTACAGTTAGTAAAGTTACATCATTTCCATAACTTTTGCTTAAAAAAAATATTGGAGAGATTTAAGTTTGGGTGAGACTCTTTATTCTCAAACATGCCTTTAGTTTTATTCTTAATCCAATATAGGGTTATGAATGTAAATAATCATATTGCATTTATATGGTTGTTTATTCTACCTCCTTGAGGAAAGATTGCGATGATTGAAAATACTATCCGCATGTCTTACATTATTTCAAAATGAGATTAAAAATTTTCAACTTGAAAATTTCTAAACCTCATTACAATAATAAAATCCTTTTCGTAAAAAAAGAAAACAATTTTCTTACATGGTTAAATATTCCCCATTTTATTCATTTAAAATAAACAAAGCTTTATTTCCTTTATAAATGGAATAAATTCAGCATCATAATTGATTTACCTGTGTGAAATTCCGTCCTACAGACCGTAGGAAAACGAAATTCTGTGGAACTGATTCTATTCCAAGTTGGCGATCCATCTCTTTCCGCAAATCGCTGAGAACGGTTTGCGGCAATACTCTGCAAATAGAAACATCAAAATTAATTAACATCGTTTGTTTCATTTAAATTATTAAAATTTTAGCAGAACAATTTTACAGTATAGTCTTGGACATTAATAAGTAAGTAAATTAATTTCCTATTATTAATTACTAAAAAAGATAAAACAAAATTTTAAAACTCAGAATCAGATAGCTGCAAGAGACATCACTTATGGGTGTCGAACCTGATTGGCTACTAAATCGTGGCAATTACTTAAGCACGCTTTTGAATAATTTCTTATTCACTATTTGAGATAATTTCAATGAGCAAAGTTAATCTTGATAGCATCACTAAATTACTATTTCTAGAGTTATATGAAACCATGTGTTTCTTCCGTTTATAGTATTTTTTTCAAACGTGTTTCCATAAAACTAAATGATTTAAAGCCAAAGGTTATTGAGAAGAAAAAAGATAGTATGTAAAATGTATTGAAAGGTAAAATTAATGTCTAAGTGGTACTAATTCCTTAAGGAGAACAACAAAAAATTTGCCATACTTTATTGACACCAGTGATACCTTGTTAATGTCGGTATTAATTGAAATTTAAAAAAATAAGCTATGTATTAAAAAGCAACATTAATGGATTGATAGAATACTTATTCTTTCTGGGGAACCGTAAAAACTTACCATATAATTGACGCCAATGCTTAATCAATTTGGTAATATATATTAATTGAAATGAAAAAAAAATAAGCTATACACTAAAAAGTTTGATTTAAATTTTTACCTACAAGCGTTATGCATCTAGACATAATTTTACTGAAATTACTATGTTACGAACTGCATTCATGTTAAGTGAAAAAAAAAACTTTTTGATTAGGGAAAGCCAGCACCTTTATGCTATGAAAAACCATAACAATATTAACCAACATATGGCCTTTAAGCTCAGTGATGCTTGTTTAGGGTTGACCACTTACGGTGCATAGCTTTAGTGTTCAACTTAGACAGGTTATCAACTTATAAAGGGTATAAGTCCTTTTTTATCATTTCTCATGAATACAAAATGAAAGTAATCAGTTTAATAATAAAATTGTTTTATAATTTTATTATTAAACTGATTACTTAAAAAAAATTAGATATGCTTATTTTGTAAGTTATGCATAACAGTTATATATTATAAAGACTCTTTTTTTTTCAAGTATCAATATTCTAGCACATTGCCCCAATCATTCCGTTGGTCGCAAAATTGTGAGGCATTAACCTCTATGATTCCAATGGTCCACATCGGGATGTTGCGAGAATGCTTTATTTTACTATCAATTCAACAGAATATTTACGCAATTAGATAACTTAGCAATATATTTATTTCATCACTTGAAATATTTATTTTATTCTACTTGTTATAAAGGACCTCATACGTTTCTTTTAAGGTCAAATATACAGTGACTTAGATAAAGATAAATTAGATTAGATTAGATTTAGATTATAGCTTTTAATACTATTTCCCTAGTTTAGTAGAATTTTAATATATAGCATTATAGTAAGGAAAATTTTCTGCAACAGTTTTTCTTTTTCGGTCAACTTATAAAGAGATCAAAATAGCATTTAATAGCACCATTAGACAAATGCGTCTTATTCCAGTAGTTAACATACGAAATAGACAGTTTATCAAGTTATTTAAGGTTTACTCATTTTTATTACATAGGACAAGGTGCGAAATTTTCACTCGCTCAAATATTTAAGACTAGCAGTTAAGTTTGATATTTAAAATGTTGAGTTTTAAATAAGATAATTTTCCCTAAAATTATCATAAAACGGTGGGTGGGAGTGTTTTGATTTGAAGCAACACTATTTTCCTTCCATTTAGAATGAAAAATGCTTACCTTAAAGACAACCTTATTTTGATTTAATATTATTATCGCTATAAATATGATTTAATTTTTAAGTTTCTTCATTTTCTTATGATTTTAATTACCATAAAAGTCTTTATACTACATCTGGCATCATTTTAAAATTTGATCATATTTTTCGTGAATGTTAAGTTGTGGCGAGTAAAAATTTTAGTCCGGTGAGAATCTTTAAAACTGAAGTTTCAGATATAGGAAAAATTTGGTTCTTGATAATAGAGTTCAGATGCTAACTTGACAGGTATTTATTGTAGAATTCTAAATAGCACCATACTTGAAATATCAATTTATACCCTGTAAAAAATTCCAGATCAAATTATGATAAAATGTAATGCCACTCAGGGTACCATAAAATCCATTTTTACCGGAATATGTTACGAACCAAAAACTTTGGTGTGCCATAATATTTACAGCAATAATTACCGTACACTCACTGAATCAGTCTAATTAAATTGATATTTCTGTCAAAATTATGGTTTAATATTTTATGATAAGAATTGATTTTCCGGTAAAATGGATTCTACGTATAATGCATCCAAAACGCCGTTACTTTATACCGTAATTTGTTCTGGATTTTTTACAGTGTAGACTTCTGTGTGTAGAAAAAAAAATAATTATGTTGTAAGATTGAATTGGTTTTTTCGTTTAACTGTTGCGCTGGTTTCATAAGCAATGCATATACAAGGTTTTCACATATGTTATTTTATTCCACACATCTTAAATTAAACTTAAAAGTTAAATGCTAATACGAAAGTAGCAAAAATGAAAGTATATTGTTAAATGACAAGAATGACAAAAAAAAAAGCAAAGCAGTTTGAATAAGCATTGATCTGGGTGTGGTCTTGTTGAGTCAGGTAAATGAGTTGACCTATATCAGGGTCTGCAACAGACAGGAAGTAGAGAAAAAATACTAAATATTTCTTATGGTGTGAGAGATGAGTAATTCTACAACCATGAGCATTCTTAACTTTTCATTGACAGCATAACATTGATTTTTTTTCCATACCTCCATTTAAAGCACGTTCTCCGTTTTTAGATTTTTTTAAAGATTTATTTAACGATAGAGCATATTATAATAGGGTAAAAGCAAAATGCGCCATCTTTAACTGTAACTACAACTATTTAAAAATCATTTTTGATTTATATTCTAACTCTGCGTATTGAAAAATGGTAATTAGCCTCATTTCTATGCTCATATAAATCATTTTTATCTCATTTTAAGACTAATACACCTCCAACTAGCCAAACAGAGAGTACCATAAATCAGACTAATTAAAAAAACAAAACACTCATTAGACTTTCGAGCTCTCATTTTCAAAATAAACATAAGTAGAGTTGCTCCAATATTGTAATAGGACCTCAAACTTAATCATATAATGCCAATTTGAATAAGATGGTATTGTTTGATTAAAAGAAGAAAAAAAATATTTATCACATATTGAAGAAATAACTCAAAATAATCAAATTTTTTAAAACTTAACTTTTTTAATTCCAACTTCCAAAGGTATTTTAAGAGAAATTTTTGTTTAAATACTCGATTAACTTCTTATCATGTAGATTTTTAACTAGTTATTATGAGTTTTCAAAAGTTTAGGGGTTATTGATAAATAAAGAATTGAAAATAATTAGATGAGAATTTTAGTTTATTTTGTACATTATTTGTCCAATTCTGTATAAAATCTCCTGTAAAACAAATTAAACATAAATTAAAATAATAAAAAATTATAAAAAATCCTATCTTGAACACTAAATTGTTTTTTATTAGATAAATTTTGATTCAATACATCGTGATCTTTAATTTTTTTTTCAAAATTAAAGCAACTCAGAAATTTTGCTTTATATATTTTAAGAAAGTACCCTTCTATAATTATATCATTTTCCCTTAAACTTTGTAAAAAGAACAATGTAGGTTAATGCTACTCGATTTCAGTTCCTAAAAGCTCAGATTTATATACTTAAAACAAGTTTTGTTTGGCGGGGCAATTTTCCCTTTTAGAAAAATTAAGCTTATTTTTTAAATTATTTCTTTTTTGATACAAATTAATTTTTCATTTTTGTGTTCCATTCATCTTTTTTTCTTAATCAAAAATAATGTCTTAACTGCATATTTTCTTATTATAAAAAAAGAAATCAATTCTTTTATTCGTTTTTAAACCAATAAACCACACTACGATATATTATTAGTCTCCGAGTACATATGGTTCATTTTTTATTTAATAAAAAAAAATTTCTAAAAGTTAAATTTCAAATATGAGAAATGTTCTCCAGGAAATAAATAGTATTATAGAAGCATAATAGAGCTATTTAAGGCATAGATACAGATTTACAAACTAATTTTTGACAAATATATGAATTTGATGCATCATGTGTGGAAAAAAAACGGTAGAATCATCTAAAATTAGATTTAGATAACATAGCTTCTTTTCATAAATTAAGTACTATTAGTCGTCCTCTAATACCAGCACTATTTTCTAAAAACAAAATTACAATCGACTTCCTTTTCAATACAAAATTAATTATGGGATTTATATAGCGGATTAATTAAACCCAAACTTGTAGAATAATTCTTCAATTCTTTGAAAATATCTTGATTAAAGAAAAAAATGGGCTATAACATTCAAAGAAAAATAATCTTATCTTAGGTCCATTTGTTAAATGATACTGGAACCTAAATATGATAGAACTTGTACTTATATTTCTTCAATTAGATCAAGAGCGCATACAAACTATTTTTAGTACTAAGTGAGTAATGATAGCACTTATCTGGGTAAAAAGATAATACTCAAAGTTAACGATAAACATAATGGTATTTTTTGTTTAAATGTTATTAACTTTCAGGATATAAGGCATCATAAAATAAGGGGGAGGGGTAATTATATAAAATTTATCGGAAATAAAAAGAGGTTTCGTTACCCAAAAAAAATTTTCATTTATTTTATTTAACTGACCCACAAAGAGTGCTTAATCATTTTTTTTTTCGATCTTGGAATCGTAAAAATCAACTACTGGTGTTATTGTCTTGTCTATGTAGTGCAGAGGAAGTCCAAGGCGTCCAAGACAGCGCAGGCAGTGTCAAAAAAAACTTTGGGGAATAGAGCAGTTGATAGTCTGTGGGGTTTGGGTCTATGTTCT